GAAAAGACAACCGTACCAAGAGAGGAGAGATGTGAATCATAACCCTGAGGATTACCCACAGTTCTGTGATTTAAATTGGATGCTGACTCACAGTGTTCAGAGGGGGCTCAGGTAGGTATGAAAATGAAGTCCCCACCCCATACCACTGTTTGCAGTTCCTCCCGTGCTGCTTCATGAGGCTCCAGCCTGCTGTAAGGGAGCTGCACTTTGTCCCACAGACAGCTGCTGTCAGCGGGGAATGACATGGCTGCCCTATCTATAATCTGAGCAAGATTGAAAAGCACCTTGAGTTCCTGTGCAATGAAAAGCTCCTCAGAAATGAAACTGATTACTGATACAAATCATCATCAGGACACTGGCAAAAGGAATAAGCACAAAAGTCCAATTATTTCAGCACTGCTTATACATAGCTCCCATGCTCTCTGCTGGCTTCACTCTGCAGGACAAATGACCCAGGACTTCCTTAGGTCTGCCTTTATTTCATATAAGGCAGGCATGCCACTAGTGATTATTTCTATCTAATTGTTATTGATCTTTTATTGCTTTGCACTGGTAACCTTTACTGACAAAGCCATAATAGGAATCTGGATCACTTATTGCCACATCCTTCTAAATGGGACATTGCTCAGCACTTCCATGACTAAGTAGGAAGGTCAAGGCACATTTGGTTCCCTCTCAAGAACACAAGAGGGGCCAACACCATCCGTCAAAGTACAAGAACCATCTTCAGTATTTGCTGACTTAGGCTCTATGTGTTTTCTATTAGGATAAAAAAGTACAGGGACTGAAAAATACATTTTGAAGGAATTAAGAGACTGTAAATTAAGACTTTAAAAGATGAATCCTTTCTGCTTCGAATGTAAACAGCTTCATGTGTGTTTGCAGGAAGCAAACATCTACCATGACAAGAGCCTTTTCTGTGGAAGCCAACTCCAGGAATTCTTCCTTCAAATCCCTTTTAGACTGAATTCTTGCTAGGCTTAGAGGTGAAAAAGGAACCTAGAATACAGGGGAGATTCCCTTTAAAGAGTAAGAATCTTTATTAGTGTTACATATATATATGCATGTGTATGTACACATACATACATTTTATTTATTTTACGCTAATAGATCCCACCAGCTGCAACAGTTTTTTTGGCACAGACAGCTGTACCAAGCAGGTAAACTGCGCTCTAGCAAGTAGCTCTCTGTACTCCACATATGCACCCAGGGGAACAAACAAGCAAGGACCATTAACCCGACTGTGTTCAGATTAATTTTGAAATCCTGTCCTCTGCTTTTGGTAAGCATAATAGAGGTGAACATGACCTCTGCTGCAATCACATGGAGGTTTTAGGAGCTGCGGGTATAATACACTTGCTGAAATTAATCAAGAAAACGCAGCAGCGGGTGTAGCACTGCCCAACTGGATCCTGTCAGCCTTCATCAGACTGGAGAGGAGCTCCTTAAAAGTGCAGCAAACAGGTCACATAATGTCAACCCTGAATAACCAATGCTTTATTATGGGCATAAATACTCTGGGAAATAAGTGCTGTGCACTTGCAGCTGCCTGGCCCTGTTTGTGATGGTACGCTCCAGCCAGCACAGCCAAGTAGAAGAACCTCCGCTGGCGCTTGGCTCTCCAGCCTGCGCCCCTTGAAATACCCAGAAAAAGACAGGCAGGCTCAGACTGACCGGCAGCTGTTGTCTCCAGCAGTGTGGAACGAGGTCTCGGCTCTCCGCAGGCCCAGGCGGGAGAACGCGTGGTACATGGTGAGGGCCACGTCGCTGAGGGTGTGCATGCCATCGGGCTCATCATACACGTTCTCCCAGTACGACCGGAGGCCGGGTGTGCCGGAGGGGTAGTTGCCATACAAGTAGTAGTCCAGCTGGCCAATTATCTCTTGATTCACTACAGCTTCAAATTTGCGGGCAAAGAAAGTTGGCCTGGCAGTCTGCTGTGGTGATACAGAAGAAAAAGACACCGGAGTGAGGTCCTGTTTCAAGCCATGACACTTCGTCCTAAGCAATGGGTTGGAGACAAGGACATGAACGGGTTGACCCCATGGGCACAGGTGACTTAAAAGGTCACCTCTGTGACTATTTGTCAGTAAGACTCAGGCAAAAACTACATAATTACTCAACTAAGCTGTAGGTGTGCAAATTCCATCATACCCTCAGCTGGCTTGCTCTGGAAGGTTCTCCAAGTGCCGCGGGATGGGTAACCACCGCGCCAGCCTGGAGACGGAGCAGCACTGGCACACATGTTATCTGTGCTCAGGCAGGCAGCAAAGTGTCCTGTGGCATGGGGGCTCAGAAGAGGCAGAGCAGCATTTTGTGTCTATGGGTTTCCTGCTATGCAGTGGGGTAAGAGGACTCTGGGAGAGGTGCCATTTGTGGCTGAGGTTTCTTACCTTCTGATCAGTCCCGCACAGACTTTTTGCTTTGCACTTGGCACAGTCTTGGGTATATTATAGGTTTATATGCTACTCAACTACCATTAGCTTTCAAAAAGCCTTTGTTTTGCCTTGCTCACATTTGAGCATGAGGTTTGAGGTGCTGAGGAGTTCAAAAGTGCCCCAGATGGTTGAAAAATGCTTTTGAGGATGCTCAGTTTTACTCTGAGTGCAGATGCTGTGGGTGCTCTGATCTCCTCCTCCGCAGCTTGCTTTGTGCCTCTGTGGGAACCATGAGCAAGCCTTCTGGTGTCTTCATCTGAGGGGTTCTCTCAGAAGGCAAGTGTCAGAAGTTGCCTTTACATCTGTTCTCATTTTGAACTTTCCCTTGCAGCTCAGTTTACCTGATTGTTTTCTGAAATATCATTGTGGATTGTTTTCCCAGCCAGGAGCAGGTCAGTCTCTGCAGGCTGGCAGGGGTTTCTTAAGACTTGCCATTTATTCTGTGCTGGAGACTTTTCTGGGATTGGTGTTCAGGGCAGCAGAGCCTCTCTTAAATAATGTCTTGTTTGCTCTTTTAGTGAGTGCCTGTGTCCCCGACTTCAACAGGGCCTGATAGGCAGCACATTGCAATAAAGAAAAGATCTCTGTTTCGGAGCAGTCATCGTTTTTGTGCTGTAGGGTAACACATTCCCCATCCCACACAAAGCCCAAACAAACAAGCTTTATGCAGGGAACCTCAAAGAGCTGCAGGGATGGAATCTCATATCTGGTGACCTTGAAACAAATGGTTGTTCATTCTTAATAGAAGACACACAGGCCAGATACAGTCTTCAGACCGAGTGTTTCCTTGAGCACAAGGATTTGCTCTCTAGTCTGTCTTGAAGAAACTGTATCACAAAGGAACCAATTGAACTTTTTAAGGCAGTCCTGCCAAGCCTGAGTGATCGAAGCCCCCAAAACCACAAGATAAACTTAAATACAATCATATTGGTGAACAGAATCCCGAAAACTGATTTGTCTTGTGCTGTGTAAACCTTCTAATAAAGGTGCAGGCCTTCTAATAAACTTTTAAGCATTTTTCAAAGCTGAAAAAAAGTGCTTAACAATGAAAGCCACCCAAGACAGAACTTTGGAAAAAAACCCCTTTGCAATAAATTCACAAGAGCTACCAAGTACTACTGCTACAGCGAGAGATGTGTCAAGCTTCCCTCCTTTCTAGCACAGCAGATCTACTCATGCCAAGTAGTCTGAAGAGCTTCTTTGTGACCTTGACAGGCAGTAGTAAGTCTCAAGGGCCAAAGCACAGGAGAATCAATCTTTCCTGAACCAATTTTCCCAAAATTAAGAGCAGAGCTTCCTCACACCTCTTCCTCCACCTTGCCTGATGGGCTAAAAGCTTCCTCTCCATGCAGCCAGAGGGCTCTGCACAGCCCAGCACAGGGGGAAGAGCTTCTTTGCGGGTATCAGGGAAGAGACTGCTTCAGTTACCTGGAACCGGTGGAAGTCTGCTGGTTTGAAGTCATTAGGTGAACAGCCACACCAGTCAACAATGTGCTTGTACTGACACTTGCAACCCAGTTTACGGTTCCAGTTCGTGATGCGCAAATTGTTATCCACCATGGACTCACAGTACGGGCTATTTTCCAGAACAGTGTGAAAGAAGGACTGCAAGAAAGACAGAGCAGACAGGTACATTCAGCTTCTCAGGCTTCCATTTTCTCCTTCACTTCAGCCCATGGGCCTGAATCTAAGGCAGGCGACTTATTTTTTTTTCAAAATGACAGAATTAACAAGCTCTGTTGCTCTGCTGTATATGAAAAGCACTTTACACGTACGCATTTCACAGAGCATGAAAAAATTACAGCACACTATAGACCCAGTCAAACTGTAATAACACCCAGTCAAGGTCTTGCTACAATAACCTGGCACAGAAAAACTGCATTTCTGCAATGACCAGCTCTGGGCATTGGGAGTCCAAAGGACTCCAGGAAAGGCATCAGTGAAAGCAATTATTTTATTTTTATTTTAGCTGTAAGAGTAATTCTAAGAAATTCCCATTATTTTTCTTCTTTAAGGTACTCTCTGGTCTAACAGATTTAGGACTATTTTCCTGAGCAATGAGTTAATGATCTGTGTCAAGTTATTTCCTAAGACAATTCGCAAACCTTCACCACCACCCCAGTTACTGTGAAAAAAAAATACAGTCTCGGGCAGCTCTTCTGTGTGTGTCTCTACCTCCAGCACTCCAAAATGCATTGCTAGCTGAACGGCCTTGTTCCGAAACACAGCTCATCCCAGGCACCAGAAGGGCATTCTGCCTCCTGCAATTACATCTGAAATCATAAGTCTTTATTTGCTGGCTCAAGGCAGCGAGGCATTCCTATTGGGCTATTCTAACTATATCATCATAATATCAGCTATTACATAAATCACGTGTAATGGGGACTCATACAGCAGGTTAACAGGTCGGTGAAGGCAGTGTGATTTTGAGGAACTAGCTACGTATCTTGCAAAGAAAACCTTGTAGAAAGAAGCTATGGAATGTGATCAGATTTAGGCCTGTAAGAGATCATTTCTGGAGCAGCGACTTCTCTTTAAAATCAGCAATAGTAAGACCTATAAATAACCAGCGTAACATTAGCATTGTTGGCCCCCAAATAATCCCCCTACCCTTTTTAATGTTAAATGACAGCCCAGTGAATATGGATTTTATGCTTGAACTGTTTGGTTAAACCCATTCTCACTCAAGCGAGAGGGAAAAAAACCCCAAACCTACCCAATTACCCATTGCCCTGTGTCCTTTTATAATGATACAGAAATTTCTCCTAGATAATGGATGAAAAGGTTATCAGAGTGGAGAGAGAAGGTGATTTTTAATAGAAACGGGATGAAAGCAAGATTATTCAACATGTGTGTGGAATAATAAACCCCTATCAAAAGATGACAATCGCTGCGCTCCACCGCAAGTTAATGAATCTAAAGGTGCAAGATCGGTCTCATCAATCCCTCAAAATGTTCAGGGGCCACTAGTGATGAGGGAAGTTATCGTTTCCAAGGCAGTCACCAGGTCTTCCTTGGGATAGCTGCATGCTACGTACCCTGGGAGCAGAACTGGGTGAGCCAGGGATGAGATGCACCTGCTGAGGCAGGGGTAGCACAGGCTCCGTGCTCTATTTGGCGATAACACACACCTCCCCGACACGCTGCCGCACACTAGACAAACCCATCCTGGTGTGCACTCCCCTTCTGCATCACTTGTAGCCGGAGCAATTCCTGAGTGATCTAAATGATTTGTGACTATGCCTTCTAGCCGAGTTTTGAACAGAACAATAAACCTTTGTTTGTAGGGGTTTTATTTTTAAAGAAAAGGGCTGGATAATAGCAAGGAAAGCTACTTATGAAGACAATTCGCCATCTCTAATAGCCTTCAAAGGCTTTGTGGATGAAAAATTTGCAGGCAAAGGGCAGCTGGATTTTTCATTGTTCAGGAACAGATTAAGAGGCTTAAAAGTATAAAATAAAGCCACTCCTTGCAAAAAGTCTCACAAACAAACAAAGCAACTAAACAACTGCAAAAGTTTTTCTAACACTAAAGCACTTGCTCGTCGTGGAGTAAAATTCTCATTACCCACTGTGGGATGAGCCAAAGCCCACTGAAACCAGGTGACAGCCCCTCTGACTTCGCTGATCTTTGGGACAAGCACCAACGTTGCAGTTTTGAACACAGAGAGGGACTGCTCTGAATTCACATACCTCAGCAGGCAGCAAGGTGTAAGAGTAAAACCTCTTCATCTTTGTTACCAGATCGTCATTAGAAAAAGTGACATACTCCACAAACTTCCTGTTAAGGAGAAACCAGTCTGACCCTCCATCGACCGCGATTCCTTCAGGGATCTTCCTGTCCCCCAGGCGCCACATGTGGGTATCGCACTCCAGGAAAAGGCGATCCAGTCCTTGTTTTCTGATAAATCTGAGGGAATGCAAAAGCAGTCATTAAAAGTTAATTTGTATTTTGTTATCATCACCAGCTCTATAAATAAAGAAGCTACTTTCTCAAACAAAAAAGGAGAAAAAGGTCACTTGTTTATATTTCTGTTCTACTCATAAATAATGTAGAGAGGTTTAATAAATGATTAATCATTTATACGTTCAGTTATGGAGGCAAAGATCAACAGATTGCTTTTAAACATCATTTACACCTTCTGCTGTCCTAAGACAGAGCTGTGCAAGTTACAGAGCTGTATGGCAGGAAAATCTGCAATGTTCTTTAACTCTTAATGATCCACTGCAGAAGAACCGTAACACGAACAGGGACTAAACACCATCTACGTGACAAGCTTCTTTCTCTAAATAAGGGCACACTTCTTGAAAAACAGCAAACAGTACATAAAGGTAAAATGACCAATTTTCTCCTATGTTATTCTTCCATGAATTTTTCTACTGGGGTATAGTTAATTCAGAAGAAATACGATTGCACTGCTCTTTGCTGTAGAATGAGTGTGTTTGCTCCATTTTCAAGTCTACGGGGAACAATGTTTTGTTATTGCTGAACCATGAATAAGAGGAACAACTGCAGAACTGTAAAGTTATGGAAATGAATTATTCGAGACCAATATAAAAAGAAAAAGCAGGCTGAAAAATCAATCTGTGTTTGAAAACACTTTGGACTGGATGCCCACACATGTTTTGAGACTGTCTGATCCAGGTTTCTATTTGTTATTCCATTTTCAGAATTCTTTCCCAGAAAGGGAAGTAGGGCAGCCATGAATTAACACACGCCTTTGCAAGGGGGCTGAGCGCTGTTCAGAGCGGTGAGTTGCTGTGTTGGATACATCCCACGTGCTCTGAGCAATAATAAACGCTGGCTCACCAGACCACCATGCTAACTAACATCCAGGAGACCACAGATCTCCCTGGGTGTGAGAACTGCCAGCTAAAAAGAGTTGCGGCACCTACCGTGAGGAGGACTATAAGACCTGTGTTTCCTTCCTGACCAATGCAGAGCTCACCAGGGCTCTTAGAAATGTTTTAGGATTAGGAAGTCAAGAAGATATTTTACCGGCCCTCAAACACATGCAGCTGAAGGAAGAGGTAAAGAAATAAAAGCAACACCTCCCAAAGCTTTCTGGACTCCTGCACCTGGAAACGTGAGTGTTAACCCCACAGGCTAACTCCTGGGTTTAAGTTTTGCCCTACATCAATCAAAGAACTGAGATGCAGTTATGAAATGGTGCATGTTAATTTTCAAAAGGACCGTAAATGACTTCAGGGTCTATGTCCTAGTGATAGCTATGTCTTTTCTCACAGCATGAGGAGAAGAGCTCCTCTGTTAACACAACCATGCAGAAAATGTGTAGATGAGAGTGGAGAAATTTTTCTTTCCATGAACAAGTTTCTAATTTCATGTTCCATTATGAAGGATAATAGAAAAGTCTTGCAATTTTAATGCAGTGCTCTGGAATGTAATCTTCAAATTCAATATTTATGCAGTTATCTCCAAATCAAATATTAATGTGCCTGAAAGTTTGGCCATTTATTTATTTCCCTCAAAACTAAATGCTCATTTGAGCTAATTATTTTAAGAAAATAATAGAATTTTATTGACCATATTTAAATAGGAATGTAAAGTTCTTTGCCATGAAATCATTTCTTTCAACTATTCCCACCAATTTATCATTCTTCTGCTCCATTTCAATCTCTCTGACTGCAATAGAAACTCCCAAACAGAGAAAAACACCTGACCATTTCAAAATCCCCTCTACTTAGGAATTTCCTCAGCCTATATGACATGATAGAGCTTAAAGTCAAGTAATAACAGAAAGCTCATTTCTACAGCTTCAGCTGTATTGTCTGAACTTGGCTACTACTAGAAGAGTATTGCTATACTAGAAGAGCATAGCCACACTCAAGATGAGAAGGTCCCAGCAAATCACACTTCATATTTTCCAGAACAGTTGACAGGGTCCTGTTTTGTATACGTGCACAGTTCTATGACTTCTTCTGAGCTAATGGCTTGAACAAGTAAATCTTGTCATATGGAGTTAAGTGAGACAATTCTTGGGAGCATGAGTGTTTTCACAACAAAACTCAGTCCTAAAATCCTATACAAGTTACTAGAAGAAAATTAAATGCACTTTCCAACCATTCATCCTTCAGCAAGGCAGAGTAGCCCAACTGAAGAGGAGTAACGCCTTTGGAGACCTGAAGAGAGATGATCTTTTCGCTAATCCTTCTTGAAACCTTCCCAGAAACATCATATGAAGGTTTTAAATACCAGTAACACCTGAACAGAAAGCAGGCACTTTTCGGATGGCTCACCCTTACAGGGGCTGCTTCACAAGCAGTCATTACATCTAAGCAGTACAACACACTAGCATAGCAAATAATTTCTTTTTAATTATGAACCCCCTCCACATTCTCTTCTAGGTTGACTGATGCTCCAGCAATAGTAATTTTGGCACTCAGGGAGGCAAGAACTTACTCTAAGCATATTGGATATTGCCTGAGGAAAAGGGAACGGTGCTATTTGCATGTCATACAGGTCCTTCCAAGGAGTCAAAACCTTTCCAACACTACAAACATTTCATAAAGATTCTTGACTAGCCATCCAGCAATGCTTGCAGCAGACAGCTCTAAAAAGAAACATAAGAAGATGGAGAGCAAATGCATGACCCTACTGCTTTGTTTCTAGTCTAAATGTTGTATTTCATTAGTTTCTGGTTATGTTCAATGTAACACCAAAAAAGTGCATTTTGGGAAGACATGTCAAGCTTCAGAGACAGTAATGAAATGCAAAAAATGGTGATTCTTCTGCAGATGTGCTGGCCAGGACAAACACGTACCACTGCACCAAGGCACGGCTACCCAAACATAACGGAGATTGTCATCAGACGAAGACACCTGACCTTTCTCCTGATCCAAGACAAACAACAGGAGAGAGATAATGATGATAAGAAGAGAGAGTCAGCCAGGAGAAAACAAAATAAAAATAAGACTTGGATTAAGAAAAAGCACACCATTTTACCTTATTTCACAGAACAATTTTAACTCTTCCTAAACAGTCTCCAGTTTTGGGGAGCCTGGATTACAGCTGCAAGCACAGCCTAATGAGAATGCGCCTTGCCAGCTGTGCTCAGCAATCAGGCAATCACACTCATGGAAAGGTGCTGTTTGCGCCCGGACTGCGTGGATGCAGCCTTGGGGTTTATATGGTTCTGGATGGTTATTCCTATACTTTGTTAAAAAAGCCTGCCGCCTGCAGCACGTGGTCTGCCACACTGTGTATAGATAGGTAACTGTCCCGACAGCTCACGATTGCAACCCAGCTTAGGGAACTCCTCTTATTTTGTAGTGTATTTAAATATTTATAAACGCATTTCAAATGACACTCTTGGATTGTATAACACATAAAGCATTTGTAAGATGTTTAGCACATGCTCCTACAACACATAAACAGATAACTCAGCTCTTCCTATGATGTGTTTTAACTACTAATAAACATTGTTGCACAGTTACTTAATACCAGCAAAAGTACCACAATCCAATATTTCCCTTTTGAACAGTTTTCTCCAAGTGACACTGCAGATCACAGCAACTATGAGAGACCCTCACTCCTGAATGCTCACTTACGCAATATATAAGACAGAGTTTGCTGTTTTCCAAAGCCTGTGAATGAGTAACACTTTCTTAAGCATCACAGGCCACCAGATTGCTAAACATTACTTATCAGTAACTTCCATCACTAAAAGGTTTTTGACTGGAAAGAATCTATTTTTTAAGGTGAAAAGGTTTCTTCCTAAATGTTTCCTCTTTCTGGCCTCTTGCCTAGAAAATCCCCTATTGACATTTCACTGCTAACAGGGTGCACCTCCCAGCACCTCATCATCATTAGTCATCATACAAGAGTAAGAACTATGAATAAAAGTTAAAAATACATCATGAGCTGAAAGACAATGTCAAAGCAAGGACCTGCAGAGCTTGGACCTCCACTAGCACCACACTCATGTTCTCCTCAATGTATGTGGACAAAGTCCACACATTCCTTGGACTTTATCTGTTCTTCTTTTAATTCCCTCTAGAAAAAGCGTGAAGAAGTCAGCCAGTTTTGGTGGGAAAAGTCAAGTAAATATTTTTATCGATGAGAAATATGAGAGGCTCTTGCCAGCAGTGTTTGCACAGCCACCTTGGAAACACTTTCTGGAGTCACTCAGTTGGGAAGCATAAAGAATAACTTGCAATTGAGGTGACCAAGTATAATCATAGAACAATAATTTGACAATCTTGAGTGCAACAGTTGCAACAAGTAATTTGTGAGCAATCTCTAGGCTACAATGTATCTCCATAAACTAGTCACTGAATAATTCTTTGTAATAAGCAAGTTCACAAAACCCAAACCTGCAGAGTCATTTCATTCCCTGCCTGCTGCAGGCCAGAAATCCTGTCCTCCACGGAGTATGCGATGGATTTCCAGTTGATTAGGACATAACACCGACTTCAGGCCATTTCCATGAGTAACTCTATTCAAAAAATCTGAAAATATTAAGAACTGGCTATTTAAGTACAAGGTCTATACTGTACCAGATAAACATCTCTTTTTCTAAAGATATGATCTTGCAGTATGTTTCTCAAGACTTCTTTTTGTCGTGCCAAAAGGCTTCAGGGCTGACCCTCCACTCCCAAAATGGAGTTGAAGCTTGAAACAGGGAACAATGTCATGAAGAAATAGCACCTACTTAATCTGTCAAGATGAGGAAGATTTCCTCCTGGTATGACAGGCAGCATGCAGAAAGTGCAGAATGCACAATTCCTGCTGTTTCAAAAGGCCATGAAAAAGCTCTCAGTGTAGATAAGAAAGGTGGAAGAGAAGAGAGGGAGAAATAAAAATTGTAACCTGCTTTCTGATGTGTTTAAACTGTAGCACCCAGAATGCAAATGAGGTCAAAAGCAGAATTCTTCTTTTAATTCCCTTTCTCTGAAGAAAATATTATAAACACAATACTATCCTAACAGTCCCCTAAGCCAATCACAAGCAGACATCAACAACACCATAAAGGATTTCTGTCTTCACTGGATTTGCTATAGTGAGGGCACCAGACCTCGTGGGGCAGCAGAGCAGGGCGGGCGTGTGAACGGAAGGATGGCCAACCTGCACCCTGGGACCACCTTGGCGAGGACAGCATGGGTGTCCCCCTCGGGAGGACAGGGACTGAATTCACAGCACAGGTCTGAAAATATGGTCATGAAAAATAAGTCAACGCTGACAGATGCATAGTGATGTCTGTTTCCACAACTCCTGTTCTGTCCCATGTCAAGATATATTGCTGTTTTCACTGCATCTTCCTATCATCTTCAAACTACTCCTGCGTTTTTTTGGGTTTTTTTGTATTGACAACTTAGGAAAAACCGAGCAGAAATAAAAGCCCTACGATGAGGCAAACTGTCAAGCTGAAGCAGTAAGGGCTTTATAGCTCCCCTAACACTTAGCATAAAGCAATAAGGAACATTTGAAAGTTAGCTGTAATGTCTAAAATTGTTAAGTGCCGTCTCTTAGCAGAGAAGATGCATGTTGCTATTGCAGTCACTACAGTTCACGTGCAACTGTTGGAATGAACTACTTACAAGCAAAAAATAGATCTTAGTCTGTGTGCTTCAGAACACTGAAGTGTTCAAGAAAAATCAACAAGAAAAGTATAGCTGAGGGGAAATTTAAACCAAATGAACCACCAAATATTTCACATGAGCAACAAGGCAAGCGCTGGTGGGAGCCAAGTGGTTAAACTATTCCAACAGCAGGGATAATTTCTCTTTTTTTTTTTCCTAGTATTTGGGTACGTACCGGGCAATTCGTATGCAATACACAAAAGCATTTACTATGTGGTCCATTTTCTAACCAAGGACCAAAGCACCATCTACTCACTGTACAGAACGCGAACAAACAGCACGTGCCACAGTGGAAAAAAGGTATGTCTGAAAGGTGATGGCACAGAAACACATCAGCAGAACTGGGCTGAAAGAGGAGAAGGCCCTTTGGGAGTTAAGGTCCCTCCAGCCTCTGAGAACTGGGATGGGCTCACGATGCTCCTTACTAAAAGCCGTGTAGTTTGGCAACGCTTTGAAAACTATCTGGAACCCAGGAGCCAGAAAGGGGACAACGCATCTGCAGCATTAGGGAGGAGAAAAAAAAAAACAGCACAAGAACTCAGATACATAACAAACATTTAATGGCTTTTTCTTTCGGTATTTGTATTCTGCCTATGAGCTCCAATTCCTCTAAGATGTAAGAGCATCCAGCCTTCACAGCATGTTCACACTGTTTCCCAAATGATGAGTGTGGAAAGTTTTCCATTAAAATCCAAGCTTTTCCCTGCCTGTTGTTGAAGATGCCACATTTGACCATCTTTATATTTTACAACACATCACCTACGCGCTGCTCCTGCCAAAAACCCCGAATCTTCTGGGCGTTCCAAACTGTAACAGCTTACAGAACCAACGGGTTATTCTTTTGCTTTTAATAGTCTAAGGCACTGAAAAGAGGAGAAAATGTGTTGCCCACTAAGTAATATGTAACGACTTCAGCCACTGTACACACTTTCATTTCATACATCCGTCTCTCTACGGAAATAATGCTTCTCCAGTTGAGTTAAGGAGACATTTTCACGGCCATTCCCTTTTCTGAAGCCACTAAAGGAAAATGAGCGATGCACATTATAATGACTTTGGCATAACTAAAAGAAAACTTCACTCTATGAAAGGAAGCCTGGTTTCTCTCCTTATTTGGCAGTAAAACATGTACTGATTGTGAACATGGCTTGAATACAAAGTACATTGTAATTGAGCTGTATAAGCATTTTGGTTTTAAGATGGCACTTCCGATCTTTCTCTCTTCCTTGTATGATCCTGGGACTATGGTGACTTAAAATTCAGAGTTTCCAGTTGTTTACAAAGCAGACATTGACAACTGACAAGCTTATTGTTTAGGAGTCAAATTTAAATTAAAAATAGGAGTAAGGGTTATACATTGCTTTCAGCGATATTTGAATGCTGAGCTCCTGTATTATTAGTTCATGTGTTTTGAGAAAACCACCTCGGAACAGCAAAATTATTATTGTACATGAGGCGGCAGTCAGGCTAGTCCAGTGTCCTCTCCCTTATCATGGCTTCAACCAGCCATTTATTAAAAAAAACCCAAATCCTGTTCCAGTTTGTTTTGAGATAGGATGTCCCAAGGGAGTTTTCTATTGCCCAATAACTTGGAGACTGGCCTGTGTCCTAAATCCTTTCCAAAAGCTGAAACTCTCTTTCGTTTTCTTTTTTTTTTTTTAAAAAAAAAACCAATAAATTTGTTGCCAAACCTTGAGGCTGTTGCTACTCTTCTAGATCTTTACTAAGCCCTTGGCCAAACCACTCACCCCATTGGATATATTTTTCCACAGGTCTGTGACAATGCAAAGCAAATGGCAAAATTTAAAAAGTAACTGGAAAAATTAACAGAAAAAGACAATCATCCCTTACTCTTAAATGAGCAAGTCACAACATTTTGCTGTGGAAATTCCCCACGCAAAGGTCACAGGTTGGCAGAACCCTGTAAGGAAGCACCACTGCCTGTCTCTTCTTTGGCTCTCGGGCTGTAGGCAGCAGGACATGAGGGACAGCCAAGACGGGCCTTCGGTCTCATCTCACCCATCCGTGCCTAAACAAGGTATTTCAGCTCAGAAGATTTCATCATTCTACCTACAGGGATAAACCCCACTGGCAATGACCACAGCTTACACACCTTGGGCATAAAATGCAAATCAACTGGAAACTGGGTGTCAGACGTCCCAAGCAAACCACACATCTACTGGTTTAGACACAACTGTGTTGCTGAAACACTAAAACTGAAAGATCAGGCTACAGATCTTCACATTAGATACAATTTCTCTCCCAACAGGAGGATGTAGAGCTGAAAATCCATCCGCAGTACAGAGCGCTAACTGCTTTTTAATCAGCTATTGACACCAGCGGAATGAATTTTTACCGAACGCCAATATTACTCCGAGGCTTCCGCGGCTGGCTCGAGTCCTGTCCCTGCAGTTGTCTGGGCTATGCAGGAGGAGAGGAGCCCCTCCACTCCCCTGATAGAAACTTTGGGGAGCTGCCAGGGGAGATGTGAAAGGATCCATTCATCCGATGGTCAGCAGTGGAAGCATTTACGGGACCTGGGGACTACACGACCACAGCAGACAGAGACGACCAATCTGCAGTTGTGTCCCGCGTTATGCTCCCGGATGCACAGAGAATTTACGGTGGAAATTCAGGAGAAAAAATGAAACATGGTGACATGCTGTAATAGGCTAAAAGGTATTTAGTTGTTTATACAGTCAAAGGGAACCACTGAACTAATAAATGGGTTGTTATTCCGGTGAAGGGAGGACAAGTGGCACATTAGCTTGTTTTATTATTAAATTAATACCAGATTAATGTGTTTAATTGATCTAAATTGTTCTGGCCCAGCTGAGTTTGGCATGTTTGAACCAGCTTGATGCAGGCATATTGTAATTCTTTAGTTATTTTCCTCAGTCAGCTCAGGGAATTTGAGGAGAATCAGGGGCACCAGAGGAGCAAAAAGGCATGAGACTGACTGCTTTTCCCTGGCCATTTTTCTTCCCTTTTCTACGTTAACTCTGCTGTCAATCACTATTGCCAGCTAGAGCCGAGCCTGCCAATCACTCTGACACTGCATTTCCCAAACTAGAGACTCTCCTGTGAAAACTTGACTCGGATTTAAATATTATTCCTCACAGTGTTATTTTTTACTACCTTGTATAGAATTTCTGCATGGACAAGATGAATGCTCATGAGGACTTCATTTAAAGAAGAACATGACGGAATTGATAAATCTTGTGACAAGAGCAGGAGAAGCCATGAAGTGAGAGAGACCTGTGTGTTATTTTACCCACCTGCTGTGCCGAACCGGCAACTCGGTGTATCACATTCTCTATGTACACTATCTGAATCCAGTCCTACAGTACACTCGACATTTTACAGAATAAAGAGACAATCTCGTGACTCAAGCAGAATAAACCAGTATTTTTAGGTGCAAAGCCACTGGGACTCAGCATATGGAGTTATGAGACTGCTATTACAGTACAAAATCTGAAATAAAGAGGAAAAGCAAAACTAACAATCAAGAGGAAAAAAGGAGTGCTGTAATCAGATGGGAAAGACTTTCCACATGCAGAGGTTGTTGGAGTCTTTGGAAACGTGGTGTCTGGTCCCTGCTGCTCCCTCAAACCACAAAGCTGTAAGCACTACTCATGCGTTGTGGGATACACAGCGTATCCTCTTCTCACTGACACCCGCGCAGGGTGGATGAAAAGGGACACTGATCCAAGGACTTCAAAACTGTAGCAGTACACGATAACCCTCCAGGCACCATGCTCCCCTTGCCAGCAAGTGCAGGCCAGTACAGGCTTCCACACCTCGCAGAGGCGCTCTGCTCGCCCAAGGCTGGGCTGCAGACCCCGGCTGGTGCAGGTCTCGGTCACCAGCGCGACTGGGACCGACTGATGAAGGGAAGTGCTGTGATGGGGTGCAATCGCTGCCTTCTCCCAAAACACGGGTCTGTGCCAAGCCCCAAGGAAGGAGCAACCATTAGTTTACATAATGTCTCCCTCCCTGCAAAAGCATCTTTGACAAATGAGTCTGGGGAGGAGCCATTCTGGACCAATAAACAACTGTCCTCAAGAGAGGATTTCCTCCTAATGCACTTCTCTTTCCTGGACGAGGGATTTCTTCACCCACATAATGCTAAGAAACCATCACTATGCAAAAGCTCTCAATGCCATGGTTAAAATAAGCTGAGGAAAGGACCATCTTACCTTGCATTGTCCCTCCCGTGTGATTTCAAGAAGTTCATGTCACGGTATCTGGACAGGAATGCTACTAACTGCTCATTTGTCCTGCAAGAGAAAGAACAAAAATGCACAAATGTCACGTGTTAGGGCTGGGTCAGCCACTAAACACTAACAGACACTCTCAAACCCCTTTTCCTTCCCTTACGCTGCAAAAACTACTATGCCTAGAGTAATTTGTATGCTCCTTGTTCTTATTTGGGGATCATCTGCAGACTCTTTGAGGGAGGCAGCTGTTGAAAAAACCTCCATCCTGCTGTAAAACTTCACTGCCTCCCTCTGCTCAGGAACTGTACTTGGAAGGAAGCACAGCTTTATTACATCTTAATGAACTTCCTGTCAACTCTGGACACGTTTTAAGCATTGTAATAGAGTATGTATTAAGTAATACTGCTCAGCACTTTTTAAAAATCCAGCTGTGAGATGACTGCATTCACAGTCCCATTATACATGCGCTTTGCTAGATCTTTCCTAGGGAATTTGTTGAAGTATCTTTTGACATTTTTTTGTTTTTATACTTGTAATAGAGAAGAGGCCAGGATTGGAATGCATAAAGCAAGAGCATTTGGATGTCAAAATGCCAATATAATTAACAGGAACAAAGGAATTTAGAAGGTTAATTCCAATTACTATGACTGGCAACCTGACACCAGTGTTTTCAAAATTTCAGCTGACAGGTCCAAGAATGTATTTATGCTTGACAGCGTTTGTGGTCTGTTATTTCTTTAACAACGGAGCAAAACCCTTCTCTATTTATCTAGGTCAGCATATTTAGGAAAACTGAATAAATCATATTAAAGAGATCCTCATCTCCTGAGCTGCATTCAAAACCACAACATTATAGATACAATACCATTTAGGCAATGGTCTGTAATGGAGTTGATGGCAGAAAATCTAAAGATAAACCAGCTGTCAATAGTACTATATCTTGAAAGTGTTTCATTATTATAAGCTACAGGAAACCAAGTTAAATGAGAGTCCTGTATAAAAAGTGTTTAACTTCTGGGGTCAGGCTGCAGCAACTTGGAAATGTTATCAGCCCAGTAAACTATCTTCATCATCTCACTGTGTTATCCAGGCCAAATGAAGTACCTGCCTATCACCCAGCCTGACGGACCAGGCAGTAGGAGCCCAAGAGCCTCCTTCCATGCAGTTGCAACACTTCCCAGGGTCAGACTCTGCATCTCAATTTGGCAAACTCAGAAAACTGCTTTCTGTATAGTAAGCAGTGCAGATTTTCACATTTGCTGCTCCAGTGATTCTCCATCTTACTGGGATGAATAGGCATTTAGTGAATTTACTTAGCAATGCTTCCACATGAAATGGTTTCAATGGCTGACATCTTCGGGTGAGTTTCTAGGCAAAAGCTAGCAGGCAAAGATGATCTTTAGAAATATAACCAAGTTTGGAAGTGCTTGAGCTTTAATTTCCTTACAGGATAAAAATCAAATCAACCGAAGTAACAATCCACACCACTCAATAAAACGTCATCATTTCTATATTGCTCACCAACCTGTATTTTGTTATTCAGCAGCGCTCTAGCAAGTGTATTTGAACTCAGGGCTGCCATACAAACTTTTCAATGCTTCTCACTTTTTAGATAGTGCTTATAAACGCCCACATGATGTTTAGCTCTCAAAATAATTAATAACTGACATTTTCCCAATTCTTGAAAACACTGTTGGCATCTTGGTCCTACTTTTAATTATTTGGTTTTGGTTTTTTTTAAGAACTTACACAGCATTTTACTCTTTGCCAATTAACTATGTATCTTTTCACGTGTTCACAACATGGAAATAAAACATCACATTTCCATTTGGTAAAACTTTGTAGTTAGTGACATTTAGATACATGTGGTCAACCAATTCTGTGCTCAGCATGTGAGCACGCTGAATTTCTATTAAGCTTTCATTCAAATCGCTTCTTGTGGCCCAATATCATGAGGATGCTGCACATCACCTCCGAATTACTCCACTACATGACATTAAGAAGAAAATCAAAGGTATTGAACGTGCCATAGATACTAATGCAGTTGCTAAAACCCTTCTCACCTTTCAGAAAAATTTGCCTTCAGGGGTATATTTCCTAAACGCCTCTGGCACACATTGCTACCACACTTCTTCATGTACAGCAGCAGCAGAGTCTTTACACGATTGGAGTGCCTCTGGCACCAGCTATTTACAACGCCTCTGGCACTCCTGAGAAATACTGAAGACATGGGCCTACTTTTTTCTCTAAGTAAGGCAATGGAAAGCTGAGATTTTCAGCTGAAGACATCACTGTGAGCAACATCAACTTCATGCTGCCACATTAGATTCTGCTATAGCTCCACAAATTTCAAGGGTAATTCACTGAGATTAAATCTGGCACAAAATCTTTTCCTAAGCATCACGGTATAGCAGAAAGCAACAAGTGCAACATATTTCTAATACTTTTTTCTTAAGAAGGAAATAAAAAAGTCTTGTGGATAAGGAAAGTAGTTCATGCTACTGATTAAAATGCACTAACATACACACTACATTCCTATCAGTTCCCTAGGGTGTGAATACAGCATGAATACAGATCGGGGAAAAAGCCTTTCCACAGCTGGTGCATGAGGCTGGAGCTGATGAATGCATTGACACAGCTCCCACTTTTATTCCCTTTTGTTATTAAACTCACTCGGAGGGCGAGGCACCAGGTAGAAGGATTAGTCAGCTGGTTACCTGTGCCATTAGCATAGAGGAAGGACTATGCAGGAGTGGAGATGCTGAGAGAGAGGGGGCAGCACCCAGAAAGAAATGGGAAAACAATCCTCCAGTGAAGTCCAAGCGTGAAGAAAGCTTGTGCATATGGGAGGGCTGGGGCTCAGCCCAGAGGTAGGGTCAAAATTAGAGTTAGAGGTCTAAGGAAGAGAAAGCTGAGTCCTACAGCAAGAATGTAATTCAGAAGATACTGCCAAAGCAAGGTGTCCTGCTAGTGTTTTCTCATGAGTAGCCCCTGGCCTGGGCCTGAGGTGTCCCAGGGTGCAAACAGGCTACACAGGCACTCAGTAAGCACATATCCATGCTGAGCATTGCGATAATTGCAGAACATGGCATATACACTGGGGACTGAAACGGAGAACTGGAAAGAGAAACACTGACTTTGTGTTTGCATTGTCTGAGCGTGCTTGCAGGGCTGCCAAGGAAGCAGCACAAGTGTGTCCCTGTGCAGAGCCACGGCTGAACACTGCAGAAAACAAAAGGCAGTGCTGGGCTTGCTGGTTTTAAGTGAACCCTCCAAGTCCTGGTGTCTAATCCAAGCAAAGAGCAGAGATCCCCTTAGTTTACAGCTGTGAAAATAGATTAAGAAAGTCTTTGGAGAATCTGAGAACAGGAAAATAAGCGATTGTTACTCTTAGGAGATAGTGAAGGCTAATATAAACGTCCTTGATTCAGCAAGGTTCTTGAACACATGGGCAACCTGAAGGATGTAAGGAGTAGTAGACACTTCAATGAGACTATTCATATGTAAAAACTTATACTATTGCATAACAACTTGGCTAAGTTAGAACAAAAGTTCAGAAGCTTTTGGCAGCACACGGGTACAGAAACTGGACCATTTGATTCCGTGTAGGAATCAGATGAAGGAAAGAGCAACTGCTCTTTTGGATTCTGGGGTCGGACTCTGCTGTTTTGGTGCTCCATGGGCTGCTCATGCACTGCAAAAGCCCCATACCCCTCTCCAAAGGGGTATTCCTGATGGGCTGGGGTTGGTCTGCCTGTCCCAGCATAGACCCTGCGGCTTCCCCCCAAGCCTGGGCTGGGAACTGGTGGATTGCCTGGGCACAGAGCAGGCTGGGGTTCTGCAGACAGCTGAGACTCTGTTGATTAAAATAGGGAGCAGTGACAGTAAGAAAAATGTGCTGGGGACCACAGACTGCTGCAATCCAAAAAGCCACCAACTTAACTGAAATCCAGCCCAAGCTCCAGAGCACAATGGATGCTGCGGCAGAGGCAGTGCTGCCAAAAATCTCTTTCAGTTTATTTTCTGCTTCAGCAGGTGAGGTCATAGGTAGGAAGTTTCAGCTTGCCATCTGCTTCAACCTAGCTCACCAGTGAGATCTGCAAAAAATGTCCTTGTTCCAGGTAAATACCTGGACTTAGTCTATAAACTATTTCCTTTATCAAGGACTAGACTGGACAATGTTACTCCAAACTTCATAAGAAGTGCTACGGGCTGCAATTTATCTGCTCACAAAGTATATATATCATCTCTCTGTCTCCTAGTCATTCGATTTCCGATCTAGTGGAAAGGTACATTCCCAGCAAAAGGAACTTAAGTGTGCCTAGGTTGTGACAATTCACAGCACAGGTCACAGTAAATGACTGCAATATTAACCACGCTGACATGCACACATCCACACTGGGCTGTATGCTTGCTTTCTGTGCAATTCAAACAGCCTAAGTTTACAGAACAATATGCCCACTTGCAAGGAGACAGTACACTGAAAATGGCTAAAATCATTAAACATGATCAGTTCAGCATTACCTAAAGGCAATCCTACTAGCTGCTGCACAAGAACCTATAGCCCCAACAAGGAGAGACGTGTGCGCTGGGAAGGGGTCAGCCCTGGCCACGGTAAACACTGGTGTCAGCAAACACAGCGGGAGCTCTGCCGTGGTGTGAGGTGCTGGGGAGGCAGGCAAGTATCATGAAAGCAGCTGAACAGGCAAGAAAAGAGTAACAAACATAAAGTGGAAAGCATTTGGGAGAGCAGGGCAAGGAGGCTATGTGGTTTGAAACAGCAATGAAGGGCCTCTGAAGCAAGAGTGACAAAGGCAAATATATAGTCAGAAGAAACAAGTCAAAATTGTTACAAGTTCTCTCAGTGCCCATAGCTCTGGTATTTCCCCCCGTACCCGCCTGACTCCTCTCCACAGCTTCCTTTCCCAGGACCAGGGGCTGTGAGAAGGCACAGCCCTACAGAGCTCAGATGTACAGCAGCCCCGGCAGCTCTTTGCCAAGAAACTATTTGTAGACAGTCCCTAGAGAAGAAAAAGACTTCAGAGAAAACTGGAATTATG